CCCAGTCATACAAACCTAATGATCATAGTACTCATATGATTCAACTAATCAAGATATAATGATCATCTAATCTCAATAATACTCAATAATAAACAAGAAAAGATTAATCATTTTAACACATAAGGATCTTTTAACAAGCTAACATAACAAATAATCAACTAGATTAAAATCTGAAATCGTAGAATCAAACCATAGTTCCTAAGCTTCTCTACCCTAAACGAAAGTTGAGGATTTTTAGCCCATAATCATGACAAAAGAACAAGTAAAAGCAAAGAAAACTTTATACTTCATGACTGAAACAAAGCAAACCGAGTAATTAAGTGTAATTATGTCTTCAATCTTTTCAAAACTGGCTTTTTAAACGTATTCTAATCTCTAAAGCTCCAAAAAGGGTTCTGTGATCATCTCTGGTTGAAACAAACTTGTTGCATAATTTAGGGTAAGAGGCAAAACCGATCTTTTTATATTTTCCAAAATAGCGTCCACGCCGTGGAAATGGACTTAAACATGTGCCCATCAAGTCAACATCTTCGATCCTCCTGACACATTCGAGACGAGAAAAATCCATTCACAATGCCTTGGGACTCATAAGTCCATGCCATGGAATCTTCAAAATGTTTATTCTTTAACTTTTGTTGCCTGAACTCAACAATCCCGCTTTAACTCTATATTTCACTCCTTTTGATCCTGAGCATGTCTTCGCTGCTACAAAACAAATTTTTAAACATTATAAGCACCTTTTATCTGTAATAAAGACCAAATGTGGCTGAAAATACCAAAATATTGCATAAATTTGATGAGTAAATAGAGCAATATCAGGAGTCTTGATTGAATTTTGGAAAGAAAATATGGCATGGAGATTTGTTGGCTATTACATTCTCGAGGCTATCTGAGTTAGAGATTGATAAAGATTGTTCGGTAGTTGATAGATGTCTTAATGGATATTGGACTTGGAACTGGTGTCACAATATTCATTGTGGTGAAGAGCTTCAATAGCTCTCGGGTTTGATTCAATGCCTTCAAGATGTTGCTTTTAATGAAAATCGTGATATATGGTGGTGGGATATTGGGAAAAACATGTCGTTTATGGTGGGGGGGGGGGTACTAGAAGATGGATTGATGATATGATTCTTCCTTTTATGGGAACGGAAATAAGATGTAATCCTTATATGCCTGGGAAGGTAAATATTATGGTTTGACGTGATCTGATGGATCAAACACGGTTTAATCTGCCAAGTAGGGGCATAGACTTCCCATTGGATTTATGTATGATATGTGAACTGCATGTCAAACAGCTTAACCATCTTTTTATTAGTTGTGAAGTAGCTGCTAGAATTTGGGATGAAATTTTCGTGTGGCTGGAATTGGATTGTGTGGATTTTGATTCTTTCCAAGGACTTTTTTATGTGATCGATAACTTATCGATTAGCTCAAAAAATGAAAGAAGTTGTTGATACCATCACGCGTGCTATGACTTGGGACATGGAAATCTAGGAATAACATGGTATAATTTATTGATTTTTTTAGTTTCTTTTTCATTTTTAATAATTATAAAACAATTATAGTTTTATACAACATACTATTTAAATAAAACATACTATTTAAATTAACCATAACATTTAAATTTATAAAAAAATATCTTACAATACAATATATATATATATATATATATATATATATATATATATATATACACACACACACACACAATAAATTTAAAACATAAAACGATAGTCCTAAGAATTGCCTAAATGTTTTGCCCGAATATTCGCCTTCATCACCCGTACCATTTCCGCATCTTCGGGCTCCAAACCTTCCACTCTAGTCCTAGGAATTGCCAAACCGTTCATCATATCTTCTCGCTCGCATCACTCCTTCTCCTCATGTGCTTGACTACGAAGGAAATCCAAGTGTTCACGTCGCAAATCATTTTTTTTCTTTTTGTAGTAAATTATGTTCCTGAAACTTCGCTTCAATTTCCGCCATATGCTTTGTTTTTTCTGTCAACTTCCTTGACATGTTTTGCAACACACTTCTCTTTGTCGCATCTTACCGGTCGTCGTGGAGGGGAGATCTCTTTACATGTCACGTCACCTCACATGTGAGGTCACATCCATCTTATAACACCATTGTGAAGAAATGGTCACCATGTTATAATCAATGTTATGATTTATTGATTTTGTTTTTTTCAAGTTTATTTTTCTTAATAACTATAAAACAATTACAATCTATAAAACATACTATTTAAATTAACCATAACATTTAAATTTTAAAGAAATATATATTACAATACAAAAAAAATGATAAATTTAAAACATAAAACGATAGTCCTAAGAACTGCCTAAATGTTTTGCTCAAATCTTCGCTTTCATCACTCGTACCATTTTCGCATCTTCGGGCTCAAAACATTCCACTCTAGTCCTAAGAATTGCTAACCCGTTCATCATATCTTCTCGCTCGCGTCACTCCTTCTCCTCATGTGCTTGACTACGAAGGAAATCCAAGTGATCACGTCGCAAATCATTTTTTTTTCTTTTTGTAGTAAATTGCGTTCCTGAAAGTTCGCTTCAATTTCTGTCATATGCTTTGTTTTTCTGTCAACTTCCTCCATATGTTTTGCAACGCGCTTTGCTTTGTCGTATCTTACTGGTCGTTGTGGAGGGGAGATCTCTTCGATGTCGTCCAAAATCTCATATGTGTTGGCGTTGAGGTCGATGTGAGTCCGTGCGCCGGAAACGTTGACTGAACTCGAATTTCGAGACCTCTTAGATTGAACCTCCGTCGATGTTGGAGTGTTAGTCCATTTTGGATCTCTTCTCAACATCTCCCATTATTTATCAAACTCGAACACATGACCCATCTCGACTCGATATTGCTCTTTTGAGGATTTAAACAAATCAAAGTCGTTGCAACCGCTCTGCTTTTCCGAATGAAGCTTGTTGGAGACCCCATTGACTTTTGTGCACCTCGTATTCACTTGAGTCCATTTACTACTACCCATATCACAATTGTAGTATGGTTTTTTCTTCAAGATATAGTGAAATTTGGCGAGCACCGCTTCCCGATAAACACCTTTCTTCATACCATTTACTTGAGTTTCATTTTTCGATGTCCCATACCATGCTACCGCTAAAGTATACTTCTCCTCTGGTGTCCACCATTGTGGAATTTCTTTATTTTCCGTGACAACCGTTTTACCTTTACATTTCCCTTTCCCTTTCCCTCTCGTACTACTTCCGACTTGCGTTTCGGTCACGATTTCTATTGATGGTTATGTGGGTGGTGGTTGGATGGTTGTTTCTGTTTGGACATTTGGCATCGAAGAAAAAGTACCAAAAAAGTTTTGTTGTAAATTTGGATTTTGTTCATAAAGATTTTGTTGAATGTAGGGTGAGGAAGGAAATTGGATCAGATGTGACGTGAGATTGAAATAACTTTCTTAGAGTGGTATTTGCGGCGAACTTTGAGAGTTTAATATTTTCATATTCGGCGAATCCAACCAGAGTGGTTATGTTTGGTTGTGAGATTGGGTTTGGTGGAGGGAGTTTGGGTTTTGCTCCATTTTTTTGGTTGGAGATGTATTGAATTGTATAAAATATAAAGATGAAGAAAAGAATGATGTGAAGAAAATATGGTAAAATGATATGTATTTATAGTTAATTCTTTTAATAAATTGACTGTTGTCAATGGTTATTACTCATATGACGGTTTGTTGCTGCCAATTCTCCAGTTTCAAGATGTTATAACATCAACGAGGTGTTCCACAACGAGAAGGGGTTGGTGTTTTGAGCGTTATATCGGCGTTGTGGAGGTGCCACATAGGTTCCGCTCATCCACGACGTTAGACACCCATACCCGATAGTCTTACAACTTATAATGGTGTTATATATATATATATATATATTATATATATTATATATATATATATATATATATCGTCTATATATATATATATAATATATAGATATAGGGTGAGGTTCAATAGAGAACCATAATTAACCAAGGAACCAATCTTTTTTTCAACTTTTAGAACTTATTTTTTATCAAAAAAAAAACTAAAAAAACAAAAATTCATAACTTTTTATCTTTTTCCATGATAATAAAATTCGAATTTTTTTTTACGTCAAATTCACATGTGAATCTTGAAAATTCACAACGTGAATCCGGATTCACACGGTGAATCCGAAAAATATTTTTCACATTCACAATGTTAATATATGAATTTAGATATTTTTAGATTTTTTTTTTCGATAAAGAATAAGCTCTACAAATTGAAAAAAAGATTTGATTACTTGAAGAATCAATAATTATGGTTCTCTATAACTTTTCCATATATATATATATATATTATAATATTATATATATATATATATATATATATATATATAACACAAATTAAAATGGATGATTAAATCCGTAAAAATTACAAAATATACCAATTATTTATTTATTTATTTATTATTTTATTATCCCAAATCTTATGCTTAATAAACATGTATTCGTCGACCAAGAACTATAAGTTTACACGATTATCCCTGATTCGAATATTTCTATCAAACATTCACACTTCATAATCATATCTTATGGATCTAATTGAGCAATGATGAAGCAACACGGTTTAAAGAAAAATAATGAACGAGAAAGATCCAAAACCATCGTTATCATGGAGAAAAAGCACAAACCATCGCAATCAGGGACACCCAATTACCCGCTAATCACAGCCCTTCAATTGACTTCACCGGAAAAAATAATCCTCATGATCTCCGACCACCGCAGCCTCATTATGAGCAACAGTCACAGACGCCATTGTCGGCCGACCTAAATTATTGCTTTCACTCATTAAACCCGACAGCTGTAGGTACCCCAACTCCCTAACCCTAACCCCACAACTTTCTCTACAACACACATCGCATGTGACTCTTCACTCTTCAATCTCTAATCTTCAATCTTCATCTCCAATCTCAATTTCTTCAATCTTCACATAAGCTCTTCCTCCGTCAATGGCGTCTCCGCTTCTTCTCACTCCGATATGCCTGGTGTTGTTCGTTTTACTAGCGGTCACACGCGCTTCCGGTGTCGACGGCGGATTAAAGCAGCTCCAGCTGAATCTTGTCACCGACACTATGGAGATGCCGTTTTACGATGATGGTGATGAAATCGAAGGGGAAGGTGAAGATGATGGAGGTTTAACGGTTTCTGGTCGTAGATCTCTGCTATGGGGGAATATGAGATACTACATCTCTTATGGTGCGTTGTCGGCGAACAGAGTGCCGTGTCCTCCACGCTCCGGTAGGTCGTACTACACTCATAATTGCTGGAGAGCTAGAGGTCCGGTGCATCCGTACAACAGAGGTTGCTCCACAATCACCCGTTGCCGCCGGTGAAAATCCGCCATTGGAGGTTAACTGGTTATGGTTAAGGTTTGCTTGAATCAATGGTACTTCAATTTGTTAATAAATTAATGCATTCGCATTGACTTTATATGAATTCAGTAATGGTTATGGGATTTTGATTATTCGATTTGTTGAATGACTCCATTGATTCTCATTGAAGAACGTTTCTGATCCATTGAATTCTTCGATTGTTGCATTCGCATTGTGTTTATATGAACTCAGTTATGTTTATAATTAATACATGACGATATAAATTTGTAAGATGTCTATTTTGATGAAACATATAAATTCGATGCATAAATAAGTAATGATTTGTTTTGGATTTTCTACATGACCAAAGAGTATAAATAAACCATTGATTCGTGTGTAGAATGCTATTTGACTGAATGACTATATTATTATTTGCTAAAATATTATTTATTTTCATGTTAAGTAAATCGAGAAGAATGTTATTTAACTGAATGACTATATTATTATTTTATTAAAATATTATTTATCGACATCTTAAATAAATCAATTCTTTGATTTTTGTTTTTGAAAAAGGATAAAGTTATTGACGTGTAATATAAGCCTAAACACGATAAATCCATTTGCTAATATAATATAAAATAGAGATGTTGATTAAAATAAACAAATTGTTTGTTTTTCTTGCAAGTTGCAACTAATCATATATTCTGGAACACACTATTTCGGAATGTCATTTTGAATTTTTAGACTTATCATTCTAGAGTGAGATAATTACTTGTTGATTGTGGTAGATTCAAGCCTAAGCTTTTAATACTAGATTTTCTTAATTATTATTCGGAACAAGATAATCAAATGCACTACAGTATATATATCTATATAATAATAATAATAATAATAATAATAATAATAATAAAAAAGAGAGATTAGTTTGTAACTTTGTATGTATGTGTTGACGTTTCATCTACATATAACCAAGTATCTTACAATATGCAATATAAATAAAACAAATTAATCATTTTACGAAAACATATAACAACATAAATAAATAAGAACATATTTTAATATGCATATAATTCAATACATATTGTGTAAAATAAACCCTGAATCTTACAATCTATCTAATCTAATATCTAATAAATGAATCCTAAAATTGCCACATAGCATCTTTTTAGACCTTATCATTGACAAGTGGCGGGTTTTGGTTCACTATGTTTTTTAATTTCCCGCTCATTTTACTCATAATCATATCAATCCGAATCTCACATAATCAGCAAACATTTTTGTTATTGCTTATTTGCTAATCTCTAAAATTGGACATCTTCAATCTATTCCACAAAATCAAGAATGATTTATCTTCAACGAATTCAATCCAATCTTAATAAATCAGGATTAAAATTAAGTTATCAACAACCATCTCCTTATAATCTTTGTTTTTGTCTTCCACTATGCGCTCCGACTCCCCTTCTACACCGATCGATTTACTTTATCTCATCTGAATGAAAACCCTATAAATTTGATGGAACCACCACCTTACCTCCATGCACACCAGTTCCTGTGCTAATCTAAACCATTACCCACAACAACGCAACTAATACCACCACATTTCTTCCACCATCACATGACTTCCATCACTACCCAACTTTCTGTGTTGTCGTCTGTGTCACTTCCTTCTCAGTCTCTCTTACTTCTAATTAGCTTTCCTTCTGAACCATCTTACAGCTATTGAAAAAGACAAAACAAGAATGGAGGTTGAAGGTAATGTATCTTTGTTTCTAATGGTGCATAATTCCTGCCCATTAATTGTTCGACCAAATGTACTATACAATAAAATTCAATTTTTCGGCCATATTACTATATTAAACTATTTACAGTCACTTCCAGCATGAACTTCTCACTCTAACTTCATAATTAATTACTATAAAAAATTTGCATTTTTCTTTTTTCCTTCAGGCTAATGTAATGTTAATATCTTCTTTCTAGAAAAAAAGGTTTTACCTTAAAGGTCTGTTCTGAAGTTCTTTATTCCCGTAATACAACGGATTGAGGGATTGGGAATGTTAATAACATATATGTGGAACTTCACGATTTTACTACAGATGCATTGGAGCATAGATTAATGGGTATATTATCCTTGACATACCTTATCCAGGACATGTCAGTTTCTCTAATACATATCTTAAAGTTAAGTTTGAATATAAGGTGGTGTTTGTTTTTTCGAAGCGAAAATGTCTGAAGTCTCCGAACCACCTCTGCAACCCTCTGTAGCAGAAGAGGTGGACCAAACGGCTGCAACATTTAATAAAAAGTCAGTTTGTTTTTTAACGCCTGCAGACTGTTGTAGTAAGTTAAAGTAAGGTGTGAAGAGGTTTGAAGCAGTTGGTCTACTATTGCGCCACGCAGCACACACGCAACAGTTTTTAAGTCAGAAGTCTTCTGAAAAACAAACAGCTGCGAATGGTCAAGTGTTGCGCATGTGCTGCGCGTCGCAACAATAAGTGGTCTGAAGTGGTTTTCTAGAAAAAACAAACAACACCTAAATGTTTAAAAATATGATTATTAAAAACTACCTTATTACATATAGTGTATGGTATGAGGTATCACATGATTCTTTGATCTTCAGAGCTATTTAGAGAGCAATACCTAAGAGGTACTCTTTTTGGGGTTCTATGTCTAATAGGATTATCGGGCTAGATTCAAGACCTTTGTGTTAATATTTATTATTGTTTATTTTAAGGTTATTTGACATATAAATCATGTTCGAGGAATTGAAAAACCTACTATTGTATTTCATCCCTTTTTAGAGTTCAAATATCATCAACGATGATGTAGCTTTGAAGATGAAGTGGAAGTGGAGATAATGTTATGGCCTGTAAAAAGTTAGCATGTTATATTTCATATTACTATGTGTGGCTCATCAGGAAGAAGAAGGAATGATTTTAGATGACTTCTTCTGAATCTTTCTGCATATATTTTGTTGTTTAATTAAATTTCTCTTGAAGATAGATTTAGATGGATGTGATTACTTTTTGACATGTTCATGTTATTCGGTATAGAATTAACGTTTTGTTTTTTATTGCAGTTAAGACTCTACTAACGATGCTTATTGCATTATGACCACCAAATAAGGCTTCGGGTTTTTTGGATTGCAAAAAATAAGTAAGGCATCTTCTTGTAATTAAATCTCGTGAAGTTGCCTCTAAATATGGTATTCTACATTGCTAAAGGCTCGCCGATCTGGTCATTCTGAGCACCTAAACTATTCCTTAATTGTTCTTAAGTTATTTCTAATTTATAAATTTGGTTTAATTTGTTTATTTTTCAAGAAAGTTTTGGTAAGAACATAGAATTTTAGGGCTAATAAAAGGAAAACCCATTGAACATAACAATGATTTTAGTTATTTGATTTGAAGAAAAACCGGTGGGAATATTAAAGGTGTTATTAGGATTTTTATGGTTTCCAAAGATGTAAAACCTTTTGCAAAGTTTAATGCTATTTTCAGTTATTGTGAGCAAAATGATATCTACTCGCCTCATGTTGTTTGTGAGTTTTTTTTTCTCTACTTAGCCTATCTAAGTCTAAATATAGATGTTGATGAAAAACCCTGATGGGTTTGCATACACCATATATCTTTCTCTACATTTCACTTCAATTCCATTTACAAAGTTTGATGTTATCTATAGAGTTTTTTGATGAGGTTACTGCACTGGTGGAGTAGAAGTCAATAAAGACAAGATATAGCAATTAGCAACTTACCTTCTTTTGTTGTTTCTTTAGCTAAAGCAACATTTACATACTTTAATTATCATTTTCGATTATTTTTTACCATTTAAGTTATGATTTTATTATCACATTTGTGGGCTTGGTTCTCTCTGAAGCATTCATGATAAATTATGTCTTACTAGAAATGGTTTTATACTTTTTTTTATTGATTATTCAAAAAATTATTAACTTTCTTTATTAATTGTTGTGTTGGTTGTTGATCGTAGTCAATGTGTATGTATATTTTTTTTGTTATTAAGTAGTTTTTTTAGTGTTGCATTACAAAGTATTCTTTTTGCGGGATTGGAAAGTTGTTGTTGATGGCGAGTTAGAGATCAGTAGCAAAAATTTTAATGAATTGATGTTGATGGTGAGAAGCTAAAGAATGCATGGATTAAAATGTTGTTAGTGGACAATGAATGATACATTTAAGATAGTTATTGATAGTTTTTTTTGAACTTTTTATCATTTCAAACTATTATATCTTATCATTATAAAGTATATTAATTTGAATCAGGACAAATCATCTAACTTTGTAAATTAATAACTATTTGAAAATCATTGATTAATTATTATACTTTTGAAGTATCAATATTCTTTTACTCTGATAACCGTAGTTTCCACGAGTTATAACCTACTACATTATGAAACATTCTCTAAAGTTAAAACATAACTTGTAACTAATAACATTGCATGGGTAGACACACTTGGTCTATATTTATTTGGTTATTTATGACCAAAATATCGGATACCATATGTCTTTTTCAAGAGATGATTGGACTGCTTAATATGTAGACCAATTACGCACCCAAAGCCAAGTCTAAATATACGGTGAATAATAAAACAAACTTTAAAATGACGTATCTACATTTTCTTTCATGGCAACGAAAGAGGTGACATGTGTAGGGATCAAGGTTGTAAAAAACGCTCGACATTTGCTAGTCAGTGAACTTGGGTGAAGAGATTAACCGACTACGCGATGATTAATCGGAGGATTAACCAAGGACCATTAATTGCTAACTTGTTGAATTTTAAAAAATTAAATATGACTAATATCATAACAAAGTTCATAAATACCACTAATATCATAACAAAATAGATTAGTATGATTAATGCAACACTAATCATTCCTCAAATAGTTTATATTGAGATAAAACTTCTTCAAAGTGTTAGAATTTCATCATTTTCTACTGCTTTACTCATCGTGTATGCAGGGATTAATCGCTAGACGCCCTCTAGTCGATCGAGTATCACCTAGGGATTA